CGGCTGGCCTTCCTGAGAGAAATTCTGGTAACGATCCGCATTCCTTTTAACCACCGTCCGCACCCGATCACCCCATCTGATAAAGCCGTCTACACGAAAGTTAAATTGAAAGTTTGTGTATTATTTTAAAAATCCCCCAAACTTGTCTTGAGTGATTAGGTCTTGGAATAGTTCCATATTACTCCATTTGACATGCAAAGAGAGACGTCCACGCCAGTTTTGATTCTCTTCAGCCTCGGTTCCTGGCTCTGAGGCAACAGCTTAGGGTGGCGTCGTCTGACAGGACAACCACCGTCCAAGGAACGTGGCAGAGCCAAGCCACCCTGCTCCCACCGAAAGAATCATTAAAATGTTGGAAAAAAGTATCTGTATTTGGAAAACTTTTTTTACAGGACTTAGAGTGGCACAAAAGCAGCCTAACAGGACAAATTCACGTTTTGGACATTTACAGCTTTTAAATACTGTTCAACACTGTGCACCTACACTTCTAGCTCATAATCCTGTGGGTGAAGGGTTGGGACACTCACAGGTGACTCGCCAACAGTAAAGGAGAAGCTGTCATGACCAAGCTGCTCTGCACCAGACCAGAGACCTGCGCTGCTTGTGTGACAGCAGCCATCAGTTACAGTGACAACTCAGACCTCAGTTTAAGGACAGCATATGGCACTTAGTGCTAATACTTAACATAGGGCATTAACTACAGTCAGCTGGAGCTTTCAGAGTTCAGCAGCGAGCAGGATACACTGTATGCAAGAAATACAAACACACCACACTTCTTGTTTATTGATTTACTTGATACACAGTTAGCTACATATCAAAATACTAAAGTCATGTGAGACAAATTCTCTCTTCCTCCTCTCCAGTGAACAGCCATAACATATTAAAATTATGCCAAACAGATACCTCTGGATTCTCTAGTTGAGAATATATGCTATAATGGTAAAGATGAGAAAAGCATTTTTTGAGGTCCTGTCATCCGTGGTTATTCTCACCCAAAACACCCACAAACAGATCCTTACTGAATTCAAAGAGTGTTGCACCATTTTATAGGGGAATTATATAACTGAAATTGGTCTGTATTTGTTCAACAGCAAAATGATTCTACTAACATTTTTAAAATGTTACCATTTTTCACTGTATCTACTGAAGACTTTCATACGATGCATCAGTCACTTTGAAATGCAGTACTTCAAAAAAAAGTTTAAACGGTTGCTTATTTTTCCTTTGCTTTTCAACACAGACCCTAACTGTAGTAAATCCCAAGGAAGGTTAGTATCTTATTCCAGTGTTTGTAAACCAGCGCATGAGAAATGCAACACTTTTAATTTCTTACTGAGCATAAAGAGAAACCTCTGATTATTCTTTCAACATTATCTGCCTTCAAAGTGAAAATCAGAGGACAGACACCCTCTACACAACTAACATAAGCCAATTAAAATCTTAGTTCAAGCTCATTGGCAGGAATACTCAGGCTGGCTAAAAATTCCCATGAAGTCCAATTAGAAGGCAACCTCTAATGACTACATCTACTTTTGTTCCAAAAATAAAAGCAAAAATCAAATGAACCATACACTGATGAAAGCCGTAACAGTGCCACGTCAGTTTTACTAAGAATGCCTTTTAATGGCAGTACAAAGAATTGTGCAAAGGTTTCAAGAAGTAAAATAAGTCAACTTCTGGGTTTTTTCTTTCTCTACTTCAGAGAGAAACTAGCTGCAAATACTGCTCTTACCGCAAAGAGCCTAGAACTGTGTGGCTACCCAAACCCAGGGCGTTTGGTTCAGCCTGTTTGCACCATTCTTTTGTATGTTGCTTTTTGAAGGTGGCGGACTCAGTGTACCTCAACAGACCTAATTTACTGAAATTTCCTTTTAGTACCGATCTGTGCACTGTGTAGAGACTTTGGGGAAAAAAAAGTCTAACAAAGCTGATTTAACTAGTAATTAATTTTGTGTGTTTTATATTAATTGAGACAAATTCTTCATTTGATTATACTCTTCCTGGAGTACTTTGTGAAGTAAGAGTTATGGTTCTACTTTCAAATGAACTCCACTGGAGATTTTCATTTACAGAAAGCAAATTTTATATCTGCATTGTAAATAAATATAGTTTAACACTGACAGTAAGTACTTTCAATTTAACACTATACTGACTGCAATAAGTAGATTACAAAGAAGGAATATAAATAAAACAAGTATGTGTATATATATATAAAAAATACAATTCAAAACCTGTTTATTTTTTTAAAATAACTGTGCATTTTAATGTCATGCCAAGAAGGCGCACAAAGCTCTAACTCTTTGTACATAAAAATTGGTCAAACCACAAAAACCACCTCTGGCCCACTACACGAGATCCTTCCCTGAAGAGAGTGAAGATTTCATGTGAATAAATACATCTACCAAAAAACAACTCTTTTACTTTACTCTTGAGGAATAGAAGTTGATTGTACTTGACCACAGAAGCTAAAGACATAAGGAGCTAGACTGTGGTTTTGTGGCCACAGCCACATTTTCAGGTTATGTGTGTTTGCGTACGTGCACAAACGTGAGCAAATACAAAGCGAGTGGAGCAGGATTTGTGGGAGCCAGTCTGCAGTTTGCTGCCTCAGGTAAAATTGCTCTCTGGAAGGGTAAAGAGTATGAAGAGGTACATTACCTACTGTAATTCTGTTGTGCCCCAGTAGCACTCACACTGAGTATTAGGAGAGTAATCATTGATCCTGATCCCCCTGCTATCAGTATCCCTTTGCTACCCACCACCCTCACCTAGTTAAAACTTCCCATTCTGGTCTTCCTATTTCCTTTCTTCAAAGGCTCCCCACTCTGCATTTGCTCTTCACCTACTTAAACAACGCCTTCACCTTTTCATCATTTTTCACCTCCTGGAAAATGGCATTGTGTTTTCACTCATAAGCAAAAGCATGGCCTAAAATGGTTGCTGCGAGCAAAACACATTTCTAAGCTTACAAATACGTAACATAAATACAACCCTGGAGCAGACTTCTGGATATAAACATGCTGCTATTGCTATTCTCCTTTAGGCCTCTCCAGGTTTTTCGGTCTTTTTAACCATACGAGCTTTTTGGTTGCAAGGACACTATCTCCCCACAGGTCTGCACAGACCAGAGAAGGCTCTCACTCTGGAGTTGTACAATTGCTATGTCTTGTCCAATGCCCTGGCAAAGTACAACACTGAGACAACATACAGGGACTTGGATTCTTCTACTGTCTGCTCATCAGGCTGCTTTGCCCTAAAAGCATTGTTCTTTGTAGCCAAAAAAAGATAGATAGATAGATAGATATAAATATATATAGTAACAAAGATCTGAAGCTGCATCTAATGTTTGAAAATGCAAGAAATGTGGTAAAATCAGAGATCACAAACTGGCTACAGCTGAAATCCTGTACAGTCAGCGTAAGCAAGAGCAATCATAGCAGGAGGTTTTGCTATTTTCTGATACCCAAAGTGTTTTACTAACCATATACAAAGAAAAACCATTTGTTTCTCTTTTAAATTGAGATAGACTTGTTAGGACAGACTGGCATACAATTTTAATCCTCCCAGTCTAATGGAATCTCCTCATAATGTAACTATTTGTTCAAGATTTTTGTCTCTATTTAGGCATTCTGAAAGATCATCAAAACTCATAGTAACTTGCATCTGAAATTCCCAGATTAAAGTTTTCAGTTTTAGTTTTCCTTTCTAATACGGCTTAGTTTAAACAAGCAAAATGCACCCTCTGTTGGGCCAAGCATGTAATGACTTTTTCCCAAGGTCATCTTTTTAAGAGCATAATTTATCAAATCCTGTTATGAAGGTTTGTTTTTATGATTAACTGTGAACTAATGTACAAGTCATACAAACATTTGAATCAATATTAGATTGAAATTAAACCAAAGCAGCACAGAATATTCAGTGCTACTATATAGCCATTAGGAGATTTATGATCTTTTTCAAACACTGCTTACATCTGTAGGATTTATAAACCTTTCCAGCGAGCACTGGAAATTCATTTATTGTAACCTAAACCAAGCAAATTTCTGTACTTCACTTCAGCACCAAAGCACAATTTACACCCACCATCACTGCAATATATTTGTTTGAGCTGGACAAGGATTGCTTACTGGCACTTTTAAGTTGTTTTTCAGTTTCCCTGGATGATTCCTGAAACTCCTTCAGCCTTTGTGCCACATTTTCCAAGCACTCTCTCGTCTTATGTAGTTGTTCTGTGACCACATTCACTTTCTGATTCAGCACAGAAGCTCCAAAGTACATTTTGGATAAGGATGCTACAGTAAATTCCCCATATAAAAGGGGGTTTATTTTACCTGATTTCTTCTTACTAGGATGTTTCTAGGTAAGGGTGGGATTCAGTGAGGTAAAACTGGCCAGTGTATCAGAACAGAAAACAGCAAAAGATAAGGTCTTAAACCTACATATGCTGATGCCTATACCCATGTGAAAAAACCTAAACTACTCAGACGAGCAAAGAGAGTATGGGCTGGTATGTGAACACTGGAGTCTAAAACTCACACCACAGCAAACAAGAAAGTTTGTGTAATGCATGGACATCAGAATAGAGACAATATGCAGTTCTCAAAAACAGAAAAGGTAGATGGATCACATAAGGAAACAAGATAGTGAAGAGAGGTGAAGAGGGAACTGGGGTGCAGGAACTGTGAGCTGGGATGCAAAGTTACCAACGTCTGCCAAGCCGTAGCAAAGGAAAGCTTCTCTGGACCACAAGAAGATATCCCATTTCAAACAGATAAAAAGCATACAGGTAGAACTGACTGCTGTGAAACAAGACTCCTCCAAGATCTGCCCTTAACCAAACCCTTTCACAATGATATTTAATAAAATTGCATTGTGGTAAAATACTTTATAGTAGTAAGAAAGAAATCTTCCTACCTTGAATGTATTCAGCTGCTGATTAATAGTCTCTGTTTCCATTCCAACAGGACCTTGTGACTCTTCGTGTTCTTCGGCCTTCCCAAGCAGACTGGAGAATTCTTCTAGCTTCCTGTAAAACTCCTCAACACGGCTAATAGTACCCTCCACTTGATCTTCCCTGGCTTTTGCTCTGTCTAGTAGCTTGTTGCACTGTTTATTTAAAGCTTCCAAGTCTCTTTTTATACCAACAAGATCAGGAGAAGCTTCAGCTTCTGTAGCTAGCATCATTTTACAGTTTTTATTAGCATTTTCATTATTCATGATAAGATCCTCCAGCTTTTTCAGGAAATGTTTTATATCCTCTCTCTGTGATTGCAGCACCTCGAGAGTTCTCCCCACAGCAGCCATGCTATCAAGTTCATCATCAAACTCTGCAAACTGAGAGAACATCTCTCGGATGCTGTTTTGGAAATGGCCAATTCCCTGAAGTTTTGTCTCTAAGAACGAGCACCTATCTTCAACCTGCTGGTTCACTGCAGTATATTCTCGCTCCAAAGATTCAGCTTGGAGCAAGAGGTCAGAAACACCTGCTGAATCAGAAGCTTCTACCACCAGGTCTTGGGCAAGCTTTTTTGCTAAATCAACATGAGGCTTTAAAGCCTGCAAGGCTTTCTGCTGGGCCTGCATCATCGTCAGGTGTTTGTTACTGAATGACTGAGGTCCAAGCAAGTCGTGAGCTTCCAGATGCTCTTTGGCACTTTTAAGTTGTTTTTCAGTTTCCCTGGATGATTCCTGAAACTCCTTCAGCCTTTGTGCCATATTTTCCAAGCACTCTCTCTTCTTATGTAATTGTTCTGTGACCACATTCACTTTCTGATTCAGCACCTTAGTTTCTTCTTGAACAATTTCTTTATCTGTTTGACTTGCACTGAGCAAACTTTCAGCAGTATTATTTAATAGCTCCACCATCCCATGGTGTTTATCCAGGTCCTTCTGCCAGGCCTTCACCTGAACAATAGAATTCTCTATTTCAACAGGGTTTATGCCAACTTTTAATTCACACAAGTTGCTTTGGCATTTCTCGATCCACGGTTGCAGATTTTCTACATGCTGCTTGTATTTGAGCGCTTTCTCCAGACAATCTGTTAATTTATCATGCCTTTCTTTTACTTGCTTATTCATTTCATCCCAGTTACTTCTGAGTGTGGCAATTTGGGATTGTAATGCTGCTCTGTCAGCTCCTTGAGTCTTCTGCAAGATGCTTTCTCCTTCTGCAACAATTCTTTCATATGAACTAATCTGATCGGTCATGGTCTTCTTAAAATCTTTCTGTTCTTCAATTAGTGATTGCAAGGCATCAAGTTTGGCTGATACAGGACGAGCCTGGTTCAGCTCTTCTTTCTTTTTGCCTAGCCAGGCCTGAAAGTCCTCAGACATTTGCTGGAACTGATGAGAAGCGGCATACGCTGACTGAAGCTGCTGAACGTGGTTATCTACAAAAAAGAAGACAGCACAGAGGTGCATTATCAGAACCTGCTAGTATTCAGTGAAAAAATAATAATTAATGTTGTTTCTGTTATGAATGATCATTAATGTAAGGAAAGCTGGTCCTTAGTATGTGGTGTTCGACTGGAAGACAACCAAGTCTATCAAGTTTCTTGCAAGGGACAGACTTGTGCCTGTACTACAGCAGAGCAGTGAAGGCATTTGGACATGAATCAAATGAGGTGAGCTTAGCCAATCTGTGTCTACATGAATCCCATTTCAAGCAGATTCCACGGATAAAAAACACAGTCGTGTTTCATGGTATTATGAAGTGTAAGCTCAGGGAATATTAAGTAATCTAGCCTAGCAGTGTCAAACTCACAGCCTGCAGGCAATGTGTGTTCTTACGGAGATCCTTTGAAGTTCCTTGTCACCACAGGAAATTAAAAAACTAAAACTGAGGCTGTTAGGGAGAATAAAGTGTGATATTGCTTGCAGTGTATTACTTGCTCAGTTCTGTTGTTCACAGGCTAAGGAAAGGCTGCAGACTACCGGCCCTCTTTCGTCACAAGCAGTATTATACAATTACCACTGAGTTTCACCAAGCCATTAACTGGTGCTTGCCTAAAAATTACAATTTTGGCTTACACTCTGCACCTATGCAGTTAGGTAGCTCAATGAACAGCATCCTCTTTTGGTATTCTAATTCAATGAAGACGCACCTGAGGAAGAGATGAGAAAAGGAGCCCTGCTACTGTGCTTCAAATTCTCTCCCAAACTGTTCACTAGAGATCCCAAGTATTGTTTTTACCTTTTCAAGGTATGGGGACTCTCCTAAATTCTAATGTACAAATGCTTGGAGGCTGGACTGGATGGAGAGCTGGCATTAGGCTCAGCTGACTCAACATCTCTATAAAGACAAATGAAACTATATGCTTTACTTTATGCCTTAGCTACTATTTTTCTTTAAATAAATACTAACCTGATTTTTGCTCAATATCCTTAAATGATTTTAAGATGCCATCTAACTGTCTCGTAAGTTCTGCTTTCAAATACTCTTCTCCAACCAGTGTTGACAGCTCTTCACAAAGAGCTTGAGCTGCATTGATATTCTTCATTTCCTGTTCTATTTCCTCCTTCATTTCTCTAGCAATTTCCAGTTGTTGTTTCACAGCATCAGGTTGTGTACTCACAGCCAGGCTGCTGTTTAGTTTGCTATCCAAGGCACTTAGCTTATCAGACAGACTTCTGAGTAGACTTTGATACTCTGTGCTTTTCACAATGGCTTGGTCAATTCGGTCACATCTGTTCCTCAGTTGGCCAGTTAGACTGTCCCATTTCTGTGCCACAGCTGCCAGTTGCTCTTTTACAATTTCATGGGAGGGTGAATGTTCACCAGGTCTCTTCAGAATCCCTTCACCAGCCATAGTTAACTGCTCGTATTGTGGCTTTCTGGTGTCAAACTCTTTGAGCAGAATCTGGGAAGAAAGAAAAATTTATAAAGCATTTGCCTCATGAAAAAAAGAAGCAAAATGCTTCTGACAAAACTAATGTAGAATTTGTTGTAGCTAACTCTCTTATTGAGTAATCAATCTCCAAGTTTAAAAGCCAGTGAAATAATTGCGGCTTCTACACGTAAACTGTGTTGTTTCCAAGCATTTACATCAAAGAACCAGAAAAAATGAGGTTAATTTACAGATCATCTAATAGAAATTCAATCAGCAGATACCAGTAAACAATGAATTCTGTTACTACTATCGTAATTAAGTAACTGTACCAAGTAAAATAATCGCTGTTTAGTTTCAAGCAGTGTCTTCTTTCTTAGACAGTTTCGATATTTGTCTTAAGATAGAACTTCAAAGAAGGTGTATTCTGACATAATATTGCCATGTATTATTATAGCAGAGAGAATATTTGGATAATTCACAAAATGACTGAATGTGTACTGTAAGACCTTTAAAGTTTGCATCACTGGTTCCCAATATTATTTTTTTTTGACAGTAAGTCATAGTGCTTGCAGCAAAAGGGACAAATATCATGGGTTTACTTTACAGAACATTCCAAACCCTTTCTTTTTAAGTCGATTAGGTTTAACTTTTAAGGACTGTTAAGTGATACATGATAGTCTTATGCCAGCTTTCTAGATTTTTGAAGCACTTACAAACCAATATTAAGTTATTTTCACATAGCATTAGAACATAGTTCATGTTTTAAACACTTCATTTTAATCAATATTGATATACCAGCTTTAATAATATTTTTGCAAAATAAAAATGTTATTTCTCATCACAGTTTAAAATAACCAGCAGCAACAGAAATGTTTGAAGTAAAAATTTCTAGTTTCTGCAACTTTGTCTGATTTAACTTTTGTTTCTTGTGTCTGCAGTTTGCTGTATTTCTGAAAGTAAACTACTCCACTTTTTCATTATACTTTTTCTTCTGTCTTTCACATTCTTAGCCACATTATCTATTCACAGTACTGCATTTCACTTGCCTTTGTATTTTCATTAGCTACTGGCACAGTCAAGTGAATAAAATCTCAAAAAGCTAGTTCTACAGCATAGACTGTATATGAGGACTGACCATAAAATGTTACATACACACTCAAATTAATAAAACTTCAAAGGAACATTTTCATTCGACTACAGAGAAACCACAGTATGGTCAAAACATAAAAATGTATCAGATGATCAGTATCTCCTCAACATTTTTTTTCTTTAGCTGTTCTGATCTCTCTTCACTCTTCTGCTAATTTTTTTCTTGTAATTACTGTAGTCAAGTATGACTTAAGCTGATACTTGCTGATAAACAAATGTAAGAGCTCATACTAATTGTGCTGTACTCTACCTAAATGCAAAATAGTGCTTTTTTGCTATTAGCAAAAAAGCAGAAGAAACTTAAATCAATAATGCATGTTGGCATGACTCACCTGAACTTGTTGCTTTTGTGTATTCAGCATATTAGGATCAATTGATAGCGGTCCCAGCACGCTGACCATTAGCTCCTTTTCTACAAGCCAGTGCTTTAACTGAGCTTCTGCTGTTTGGAACTGGGTCAGGTAATTTGAAGACTCCTCCAGTTTTTGTTGTCTCTCAGATGTAACTTGATTGAGCTCTTTCCATTTGGAATCTAACAATGATAATGTTAACATATTGCATGCATGTTCTAGCAGATGGTTTGTCAGACAGCAGACTATATATGAAACATAAACAGAGCTCTCTAATAAGGCTTCTTGCTGATTAACTCCAGATGCCTTATTGCAGTCACTCGGAAAATACATCTTTTAACAGTCAGATCCATATACACTTGGATCAAGGTCTGCAGTTCAGCACAGCCATGTGCAGAATTTTTAGAGCAATGAATATACACCGTGTAATAAAATTGGATTAGAATATTACTAAGTGAAATACCACCAAATTTAGGCTTCAGTCTCAAATAACATAAAAGCCAAAGGGCTATACTCAGTTATAACTTGGGTGCCTGATTTAGATAGACAAATCTTCCTCCTTATTCAATAAAAAGAAACAGATACTTTTCCAAGGGTGAGCAGAAGCCCTAATTTAGGCTTCTACTCTGAACAGCCCTCTGAAGCAGCACACCTCTTTCAAATGTCTGTATTAAGAGCCTGTGAAGATTAACTGCCTCATTTAGACATCTAAACCAGGTACCTAATGGTAGGCAATGAGAATACTTCTGTACACAGGTATTTCAGAGATGCTGTGTGAGCTTAGGTTCACACCTAGCCCCATTTATGGTCTCTTCCACTTCTAGCAAGTGGCTTCCAGAGCAGCCATTGAGTCTTACAGTCTTGTAACTTCCCCCTTCCCTCTGTGATACTGTCAGTGCTTGCTCAGTCAGCTCTGATATTTTGCTAACTCTCCTTGTCCCTGAATTTCATCTGTTTTTTCAGTTTCTTTTGCCACTTCACTGTCTTTGACCTCTGCTCAGTCTGTAGCAATTCCCTTTCAACACTACTCAAGTTCTCTTGGAGACCTTATCTGCTACTTAAACTCTGTTCAGAGTTTCACTTACCAACAGGACAGATCGGAAAAATTCTCAGCTTTAAAATTACTATTGGTGTAGCTACAGAAATGCCTATCAGCATGAAAAAGATTAAGCTATGATTTATTTATAATATGACAAACCTAAGAATAATTTTTAAAAGCTCATGACAATTATGTAATGCAGTATCTCAAAATCTATTGTCCAAACATGGTTATCTCCATTTTTTTTTTTTGGCAAAAATTATGGAATCAGTCTTAGAAAATGGCAAAAAGCCACCAAACCCACAAAATGACAAAAGGCACTAGTGCATGGGGAAAAAAGCATGCAAAAAAACCCATTACCAACAACTCAAACTGTTCTTTACATGAAATTAGAATTAACTAACTTTGTTACATTTTGTACGAAGAACAACATATGTATCTGGAGCAATAACTGACCATAGCCACACTTTGAAAAAGATAAAGCCCTCTCAAACAGAGAGTCCAGCTATAGCCTCTCTCAGTTGCATTGATATAAATTCAAAGCCCATGGACATCAGTAGAATTACTGCAGATCTACACTGTTATAAAAGGAGTTATTTCCACAGAATTTAAGGAGCAAGATAGTAAAATTACTGGTGATTGCCAATACATTAAAAAAACTAGTAATAAAACAACTTCCAAATCAGTCTGAGCTATAATGCAGCTTTACTGAAGTACCTATTTTATCCAAAATTTGTTTCCACTTGGGTGCCTCACGAGAGTCAGGGTTCTTCTCCAACAGCTCTGTCACTTTGTCCTTTAGTTCCTGCACTTTATTCGCACTTTGCTTTAATTCAGTTTCAAAAAGCTGCAAATTCAAGTGATAAAATAAACAAATAAGAGATTAAAGAAGAACCGTAAAGTGTGAAGTTTGAAGTCCATAATACTGAGATGCCAAGCATGAAGATAAACAATAAATGTCTAGCACTTACATACTACCTTTCTGCTATGAATCTCAAAACACTTTATAATGGCATATGTTGCTGGTCATTTTTTTTGGAAGAGATAACCTGACCGATTTAAACTATATTAATAATAACAATTATTGTTTAATGTGAACAAGTGACAGAACTAGAAAAATTCAGATAAATAAGATCCACTAGGTCCCATCACATTCACATATACTTGGAATCTGTTCTTGTACAGAAGGCAAACTGACTATCGCATCGTACAGTTCACAGCAGAAATAACCCAGCTAGCACCAACAGAGAGGAGTGCAGTGTGGCCTCATTTACCTCAATGTAAGTCCTGCTATCACAGATAGACTGCTGCTTGTAGATCATCTAGAACTATAGTTTAAAGAGCACTATAGCTGAAAGTGTAGACGTAGTAAGAGACTGGCCCAGCAATTCCTAATTCACGCTGTTCTTGCAGACAGAAGTGAACAGTCCTCATGTCTGGCAAAGGGCTCTTACATGAATATTCTTAAGTAACAAAGCTTGCCCCGTGGAGCTGCATTTTAATTATCCAAAACCCACTAAAATAACAAACCTGTGCTTGATGTAGAACTTTTAGTAAAAGGTCCAACTGCATCAGAAGGATGACTCTTGCCTGAGCACTCGCTCAGTTTTCCAACTATCTGTGAATACTCTTCTATTACTGCAGTGGGGGTAAGATGGTCATGTTAGCTTTGCACATTCTCTGTTAAAAAATAAGGGGCTACTTTTCTTCCACATTCAGTCTGAGTTTTAGGACTGAATGTTATCCAAGCCTGAGGAAAGTTAGTAGCTGTTCAGGTTAATTTTTAAGGGTGACCCGTCAAATATAAAAGAAGTACCTCAGCTGAATCAAATTCTGTCCTTGTTTATCCACAGTCACAGGCAAGGAAAGAATTTTCCCTATTCGTTACGTTTCCCTTTATAGATGAACCTTCACGTGTGTAAATATTGTCCTTCACTGCTAGAGAAGCATATGTCTCCAATGCTGAAACAGGACAGAAGCTTACTGCTGATTCAGTGGTTTTCTCATCAATTTAAAAGGGGGGAGGAGACTGCTCTGCAGCTATATAACTTAACAAGCATGACATGGCTGCTGAAGAGAAACACTGCCTTGGAACAGACATAAGCCGCTGCAGCTGCAGAGACCAGGAGGTCTGTGGAGTGTCAGTGAACCAGCAGCTGCAGAAACAGCTTTTGGATGGATATAGCCCTTCAGATCTTAGAAGCAATCCAGTATTTATCTCTAAACCACTAAGGAGATCAAAAAAGTTTACTGCATAATCAATATAGCCTCACCTATTTAAACTGGCCACCAAAATTATTATTTTCCGACCTGCACAACTCCTTCTCTCTGACACAGTGCTCCTTTTACTCCACTGACACAGCTTGCCAGATTTGCTCTAAGCCTGACTGGCATGCTTACTAGGATCATTTAAATACTCTCTGCAACATTAAGCTAGGCTTAGATATCAGTTGTTCAAATAGAATTTCCTCAATAACTGCAAGAAAGAGTATTTTTTGAAGGCACAAAGTACCTTATGTTGCTCAACTTGGGCTTTAACTGCTTCACTATCAGTTGGAGCAGTTTCCCAATCTGATGCAGTTTTGTCCATTTTTTGCAACCACTGCATCACTGAGGTCGATTCTTCCTGAATATTCTGCATTTTTGAAAGCATGCTTTCTAGTGCTGAAATCTTTTCCTTCAATAAAACTCCCAAATCTTCGTAACTGTGATTTACATCAGACATGGCTTGTTGAACAGTTGTCAGTTCTGTAACAGGAGAGATGCACAAAGACTATGTTAGAGGTTACAGGCCCTTGAAACAATACTTAGACTTCAAGAACTTCTGAACAGTACTCTGAGTTACAATAGCTAATAGTCCCCCAAATAAGAAGTCGCTGAACATGTTAGAGTGATTTCCAGTTCACTCTAAATGTGGTAACACTGCATCTGAATGACCTAATATAAATTCCTATTTGCAAGAGCTTCTCATTTCACAGAAATCATTACTTTGTACACAAATACCACAAATACCTTACAGTCTTTCTACACATTGTTATTTTAATATTTTAAGCAACAGTGCCGTGACAAAAAGTTGAACACACTGGACTACAGTTCAATTACTTATATGACAGCCTAACATTACTAATCACTAATATTTTGCTCACGTTCATGTACCATTATAAATGTGTTTTATCACTGAGAGAGCACAGCAGGCAGACTGTGTACTAAGTAGACTGTAATTTAGGAGAACGGGCGCTGCAGACCTGGGACGTGGTAAGTGGCCATCCATAAGCACATATAAAGTGCCTATGTAACTTCCTTTGTTTCTGTAAAGGGGTTGGTCACAAACAGTGATACAAATGTATGTAAAAATGGTGTCTTTGTATATGTATGTATGTTTGTGTATGTGCGTGTTGTGAATGCTAGTGGGTGTTAAAAAGTTTCAAACCACATACACACATATTAGAATTTTCTCAAAAGCCATGCATTATATTAAAATAGTTATCCCTGTATACATTTATAAAAGTACATATTGATTTAGAAAACACAGCCAGATTTGATCTGTCTTCCAAGAAAATATTGAAGGCAGGTATTTTTATAATTAATTTTAGTATCATGTCCTAGTCAATATAGTTTCCCT